GAGAAGCGCCAGGAAGACAGAGGAAAAGAGGTGTGTTCAAAAGCTGGTTCAGATTTGGATAGAAATGGAACTCTTTCGTGTGCAAGGGAGCTGATGATTCTGAGGCACACAATAGCCAAAAGCATGCTGTGCTTCCTCAGGGCCTTTGCTGGTATTGGGACTGTATCAGGACTACGGTGGCCTGTGGTTCAGGAGAGCTCAGCCACAGGAGAGGTGCTAGATTACTGCAAAAGGCTTTCCTTTTTTGAGGCAAATAATATATAGACCAAAACAATGCCACTTTCCTTCCAGTGTAGTTATGCTAACTTTATTTCTTTATTTCTTTCTTTACCCTTTATTTCTCTACCTTCACTAAGAATTGTGGAGGTTTAGCCCCAGGTGTGTGCAGTGTGTACTCAAAGGAACCTTGAAACAGTGGATGCAAAAGTCAGTCAGGGTGGTTGTTTAGTGAGCTTGGTTTGGATAGAAAAACTACTTTCCTAGAAGCTCTTAGCACTGTATTTGATTGTAGTGTGCAAAGGAACCTCCTGGTCCTAAGGAAGACTAGCTACTTGTGATCTGGCTCATCACATCGTGTGAGTCGAGTATCACAGACCAAAAAGAAACTTGCTGCTTTGACTTATAATTTGGTTATATTTAAGGTTGGAGAAAGATTAAAAATAGAATACAGAAGGGAAGAATGTCCATTGTATGCAAACACTAAGATACCAACTTCTGGGGTTCGTTTTTCTCTTTCCTTTTCCTATGTAGCAATTTCTGATGGCGAACAAGTTGGACACAGCAATGTGGATTTCTCGCTTGTTCACTGTGTACTGCTCGGCTTTATTCATCCTGCCTCTTCTGGGGTATGTACTGCAACATTGTAAATAGCATTGAGAATTTACGAAGAAACTACACTCCCTTTGCAAAGAACTTTTTATCATATAAGAGTGAAATGCTGTTATTCAGCTTACTTGGATGCTTTTTTGTTAGAACAGCTGACAGATTTTTAGTTTAGTTTAAAACACATTTAAATGTGTTTGGAAAATATGTTGAGCAAATGTAAAGTAGTGGCAAGTGCCACTACATGTTTTTATGTATAGTTGTAGAGTAATCCATTGACCTGTTTTGCTCTAGGCATCTGGGGTAAGTCAGCGTTACCAGTTGTGTTTTGGTAATAGTGCTTATGGACCACAACAGAAATACCTCAGGTGTTGTGCAGTTGTGGTGCAGTTCCCAAGGGTGGAAGACTTCTGAGCTCAGTTCATATAGTAACATCTCCTCTGCTGATTTGCAGGTTGCATGAAGCAGCAAGCTTTTATCAGCGTGCCTTGCTGGCAAATGCTCTTACTAGTGCCCTCCGACTGCACCAAAGGCTACCACACTTTCAGCTTAGCAGGGCGTTTCTGGCCCAGGCTCTGCTGGAGGACAGCTGCCACTACCTGCTGTACTCTCTTATCTTTGTCAATTCCTACCCTGTTACAAGTATCCTTTACTTCTGGCATCCTGGTAATGTGTTTAAAGATATTTAAAACTTGATTCTTGTCACCTGTGCTGTGATTTGAAAAACTAGTTTAAACTAGAATATGTTTGCTATTCATAGAACATGCTCTCTGTAAAATAAGAGCAGTTTATGTTGATTGATCCATATTCAGTTTAATCACATCTATAATTGGTGCACTGCAGTCTCTGGCTACTTAGATCTTCTCTTCCTGAGACTTAAGTTTGGTGGATTTTATGACCAGCCTCAAGTGGTACTTGCAGAAGTTGGTAGTCTCCATTTATTGCCAGTACAGGGTTTATGTATGACTTCTCACTGTAGTAGGACATACATCACGTAGAGAGACAGTTATTCAGTAGTATCTTTCTCAGTTAAGTAATTAAACCCATAAAGTCTGCAAAAAAAGACTTACTCCTGTGGCTTGTCAAAGGTGACATGTAAGAACTGACTTTTCTTTATGCTTAATGCCCTGCTCTTAAAATCTCTCTGGCAGAGGAAGGTCTATGTTCTTGCTCTGTAAAATCTGAATGGCTGGCAACTGCATGTTCTTTGGTAAAGAAATTAATTTTGTAGCATCTTCTAATTAAAAATACCATGACCACATGTATTTGATAGATTTTCAGTAGTGACCTCATGCGTGTCTTCGACGTAGAGATGCATTGGTGTGTAATGGTGGATGCTGTACTTTTGCATACTTGCAGACACCATGTTTTGAAGTTGATAAAAATGCATAGCAAAGAGGTGTAAGAAGTAGAGAAGAGCTGTAAATATAGATGTCAGACATAGACATGTCTTCATCCATATGGGTCGTTCCAGCCAACATCTTGCAAAGAGCCATCAAGCTGTGAATTGTGTGTTAGTATAATATCATGGAGAAATGAGGCACTCGTGCAGCCTGTAATTTTCCTTATTGCTTGCTTCAGTGAGTATTTTTCCAGTTCTGCTGTTCTCTTTGCTTCATGCTGCCACATACACAAAGAAGGTTCTCGATGTAAGTATGATACTATGTATGTTACCTTTAATACTGCTGGTATTCTTGGGGTTTATGAGCAGGTTTGAGTTGCAGCTATGGCTTGATTTCCTCTGGCTACACTAGAGGAATTAGAGTGAAATTGTATGGGATCTCAGCACAGAGAATCTGAGAAGACTTTTTTGGGTTGCTTGGTTGGGTTTTGTGGTTTGTTTGTTTATTCCTCCTCCCCCTTCTGTAATTACCCAATGATATGTTGGAGTTAGCGCTAATTATTTTTCTTCAAATGCTTTACTTTCAAGGAAGCAAAAGCTGTGTAACAGGCTGAAACACAGGATGTGTCTATTTCGAGCAAAAGCTGTGTAACAGTTAGGCTGAAACACAGGATGTGTCTATTTCAAGCTAAACGATAGGCTGTGGATTTTATTGTTTTATTTCAGTTGTAAAGTAACAAACTACAGGGTGACACTAGCAAGCAAAATACTTGCCAGTTGGACTTGTTCAGTGCAGTGCCTTGTGCAGCTTAATGTAACTCCAGTCTTTGGTGTTCCTAACTGGACTATCTTGCTTCCTCCTAGTGGGAAGAACATGGCTCGTGGCCATCTCTGTGCAGTTGAACCTAAAATGGGTGGGTGAGGGAATTGCAACACCTGACATTTTTAGTTGAACTCTATGTAAATTATAGAGTTCTGAGCCTATGGTAGTTTTCTTTGGGATACTAATCTCAATACTGGTGAAATCTTAAAATGCTGAAATGGGTTGGGAATGACAGTTGCTTGTGTAGGTGTAACTTCTATGTTTCTCTGGAAATCTTTTTTTCTTCTTTAAAGGCACGAAGTTCAAATAGTTTGCCCTTTATGAGAAATCTCTTAGAGAAGCTGAATGCTAATCAACAGAATATTCTAAAATTCATTGCTTGCAATGAAATTTTCCTGATGCCAGCTACAGTTTTTATGCTCTTCAGGTAAGAATTATGAAAAATATTTAAATAATTAAAACCTTCCTACACAAGATTACTTTTTGCAAGTGAGTTCTCTGTGGATCACAGTTCTCCATTTTTATGGTTTTGAGCAAGGTTTGAACTTGAAGTTAAATTTATTTGGTTCCTAGGCTTCTCAAGTTGGTGCATTATGGCATCAAAAAGCATTCACTGTGATATAACTGAGCACCAAAAAAACCTTCCCTTTCATAGCATGGGTGATATTGTTGAGTCACATTGAAGTTTTCAGGCTTGCATTCGCCTACAGTTTTCAGTAAGTTTAATTTTAGTTGGTTTAATAGAATATTAAGATCTTCGGCTTCGCTGAAAGTGAACTCTTATTTTTGACTACTAGATTCCAGAAATTTAAGTCACGTAAAGTTTATCATGCAAGCAGGAGTAGATTATGTTCTCTCCTGTGCTGTTTCTGAGCAGTGACCCTTGTGGATTTTTTGACTCCATTTGGTTTTGCCTGCTGTGCAGCCTCTTGAATTCATTTTGGGGATCTTGAGCAGAGGCATGTTGGAATCCTACTGAAGTTCTATAGGCATAATGACCTGCCAGTCCCTGAAGTCTGGGTCACTGCCTTTTAAAATTTGGAGGGGGAATACACCCTTTGTTCTGTACAACTTATAGTATAGTGAGAGCATTTGTCTTGAGTGGTCTCACAGGCAGCAGAAAGGAGGCTTTATCTTCTTGGAAGTTGATAGAATGCATAATTTGTCTTCATCTTTTGATATGTCAGCTGAACCCTTCAGTGCTTCAGCCCTCAAGGATTCCATTACACTTAAGGCCACCTACCAACTGACAGATACACTCTGTATCCAGTAGCTTAAACTTCCAAGTGCTTTGATCTTCTCTTTAGGATAACTATTTTTTTTTCTCTTCTCTCTCTGTGAAGAGTGTAGTATGTGAAATGTTGCCACTTGCTGTATCATCTAGTAGATACTGAAGCTGATAAACTGCCAAATTTTTAAATCGTATAATGATTAAATGCAGCTATTTTGAGATTTTTTTCTTGTCATGGTTTAACTCCAGCCAGCAGCCAAGAACCACATAGCTGCTCAAACTCCCTCCTCCCCCATTCCCCTGTTTTAGCAGGTTAAATTGTTTGTAAATACTGTGCAGGTGCAAGATACCCTCTTTCTCCTCTCCTGTAGTTCACTTTCCTTTTCACTGATACTTTTTTTCTCTTGGGCAGATACTGCTCATCATAAAATCTTGGAATTAAAGGGTTGGAATGGACCTTCCAGATCATCTAGTCCAAGCCCTCCCTGCTATGGGCAGGGACACCTCCCCAGTAGATCAGGTTGCACAAGGCCTCAAGGAGCTATGGAGGAGTTGGAGGAGTTATAACTCCTTGAAGGAGTTATGCTGACTGGAACTGTCATGTTCAACTTCAAACTCTTAAATGTTGTGTTATATAAAGTAGCTTCAGTCAGTACAATTAAGCTTCCTGTATTTCTGTGCTTTGCTGTGTGTGGTTTGTGTGCTGCAGCTTCATAAAGTATCAAAACCTAATTTCAGTGTAACTGAAATAACTGGATATCAGCTTGGCATTAATGTCTCAACACACCTATGATAGTCTCCAGTGTGTTCTGAGAAGTTTCACAAAAAGATACTAGAAGTATGGTCCAGGTATTCAAAGTGCTGCAGTTAGAGTGAAGAAACTTGCTGGAACTGGACTATTCATGTCAGCTAGTTTCTCTGCCTGACCAGCAAGGGTTTTCTTCAGACTGAACGCGTGTCTACCATCATTTCTGTGATTCTTTGTACACCACCAGAAATGAGGCATATAAAAAGCTTCATAAATATAAAATTAATACGAGACCAGCACTTCTATAACTGCTTCATTGAGCAGTTTTATTCTATAATGTAAGTTTCTGCTTTTACAAGCATATGGTTATGTACTTTTTCTTCTCAGATCCAGATTTTCTGAAGCAGTGTGACCCCAATCTAGCTTTTTTTGAGTCTAGGTAGTTTGCTTGCTTTCATTAGGAAATTCCTGATTTTGGTGGGTTTGTGGGAGTTTTTTGTTGGGTTTTTTCTTTTGGTCAGTGCTAAACTCCACTGCTCTGTTCTCTTCCAGTGGTCAAGGGAGTCTGCTCCAGCCATTCATTTACTATAGGTTTCTTACATTACGCTACTCTTCTCGGCGAAATCCATACTGTCGGTAGGTACTGCAGCAGTTTTGGAAGTTAGCATTTAACTGCAGAGTGTTCAGGCATTCAGAAACTTTTCGTTCTAAAATGAATGCATAATTGATAATACTAAATCTGCAGATGGTAATTGCATTCTAAAATGAATGCATAATTCATAATACTAAATCTGCAGATGGTAATTGCAGAATGTGAAATACACCTGGATTCTAAATGAAAGCCTGGCGGGTTCAAGGTCACATTTATTTCATGTAACTCATCTGAAATGTACCACCATTCTTGAGTGGGAGCTTTCAGAACATGCTTATGTAATGAAAGCTACACTTTGGGAGAAGAAAGTCTTTCATATCAGAAAGATATCCTTATTTTTAGATTCCAGGTGTATCTGGGTCTAAATCTGTACATGAATAGGCACTTAAGAACTTGTGTAATATTGACAGAGAAAAAATCTGTGGATGATCTTAAAACATGTTCATTACCTTCTTTAGTAATGTTCAGTACTTCCATTTCAACTTTTTAGTTCATCCTAGTACGTAAGTTTGTTTTTAACAACAACAAAATTTATGATGTTACTTTACTACTTCAGTATCTAAAAATAATTTAAGCTTGCAATACTAAAACTAGCTTTCAATAGAGCTAGTTTATCCAAGATGTTCTGCTGGCATCTATGTAATTTTCAGGGAAACTGGTGATGTGGGGTTTGTTTCTTATGTCTGGCTTCTAATAGCTGCTCCTAGAGTGCAAGGTTCTTGTATATTGGCAAGAAGTAGCACAGACACAATTTCCTTGCAGCTCCTTGCACTATTTGTGATAAAGCATTGTTCTTTCTTTCTTTTTTTAGAGTGGTTTCAGTTGGTTTTTTCTTTCTTTGAAGGTGGAATTTTGCTACTGTCTTCAGCAGCTTCCAGCTGAGGACGGATATAAAGTTAATTAAAATGTTAATGTTTAAAAGACAAGAATTCTGAAGCTCTTACAAGATGCTGCAGCACTGACCTGGTCTAAAGTACTCGTTAATGTCTGTGTGTCTGGTGTTGAGAAAAGAAGTGAATGAAAAAGATCTAGATAATATTTCTGATAAATGTTGCAGGATTTTAAAGCTCTCTTTAAATCTGATTTTTTCAGGACTCTCTTCACGGAGCTCAGGATTGTTGTTGAACACTTAATTATGAAGCCCTCGTGCCCTGTTTTTGTAAGAAGACTATGCCTCAGCAGCATTTCCTTTATAAGCAGATTGGCACCAACTGTTGCATAGCCGTATTTCATGCATTGGTGTTTTGTGAACATTATGAGCAGCTGGAACTTCTGTTGATGATTAAAAATTCCTGGTTTTACACTGATCTCACTCCAGGCTGTATAAAAACATGTATATGCTTTTCTTGGAGATAATATGAAATTTAGCATATCAAAACCAAATAAATTACTGTGCTGTATTGTTAATCGGTGAAAAAAAGTAGTTGCATCCTATCTAATGCTCATCCCTAATTTCTGCCCAGTCATACGGGATTTAAATTTTTTTTCCCATAGGAATCATAGTGATCTTGGAGGTCTTTTCTAACCCGGTTGACTCTAAGTCCAACCCTACCCTGGTCACTAGACCACGGCACTAAGTGCCACATCCAGTCTCAGCTTAAAAACCTCAAGGAATGGTGAATCCACCACCTCCTTGGACAGCACATTCCAATGTCTGATCACTCTCCATGAAACATTTCTTCCTAATATTTAACCTAAGCCTCCCTTGGCAGAGCTTGAGTCTGTGCCCTCTTGTCCTGCTGCTGGTTGCCTGGGAGAAGAGACCAACCCTCACCTGACTCCAACCTCCTGTCAGGGAGTTGTAGAGGGTGATAAGGTCTCCCCTGAGCCTCCTCTTCTCCAGGCTGAACAATCCCAGTCCCCTCAGCCTCGTTGCTCGTGGCATTTGTGCTTGAGTCAAGGATTGTTTGAGATTCATTAAAACTGTAAGAGGTCTGTGCTCACTAGGTCTATGTTATTTGGAACTGTAGCTACTGTAGGATGTCTCCAGTGGATAGCAGTTGGTACACATACCTATGCAGTACACTTTGGACAGTATTCTTCTGCTTACTAAATGTATCTGTAGAACCATTTGGTCCAAATTACAATATCAGTGTAGAAATATGGCCCACTTTGGAGTTAACACAAGGGATTAAAATCTGTCAAGCTGACATAGATAACGCCTTTTCTGACGGAGAGGCTATTGTTAATACTAGTTAAAAAGAACTTTTCCAAGTTTATACCCTGTGACATAGTCTTACATTACAGGACTCTGATCACAGAAAACTCTGTGCAGTTTTCTTGTCATAACAAGATGTTTTACCAAGCCAAATTGCTGACTTGCAGGCTTTTCAGACAAAGATGCAGTGATTAAACATTTAACCATGTATTAAACCAACTAATCAACATAAATGAAGTAACTTTTTCAGTCTCATTGCAGATTTGTTCTGGTGGCCACACAAATGTGAGACTGCAGTAATTCAAGCATGTCAGCTTTTTAGAAAATGAATCTGTAGCTAGCTCTATATAAATTGTTATCCCAGTTTCTCAGACTCTCATTGTGATGGGAAATTTGCATAAAGAACTGCACCTGTTTAGGCAGCTTCTGAAACAAATGGGTGTAGGATTTCTTGGCATAAATCCATGTGATGTCTGATCTGAAGCCAGTGTCTTGACTACAGAAGTGAGTATTAAACTGTGTGCTGATTATACATTCACCCAGCAGCTGAAAGGTAGGTTGTGGAAAAATAGTATCTGTCTGAACACAACTTCTTTCCATAAATTCAAGGCAAAATATTTGCCTAATCTTCTGTAGTTAATGTTAGTACTCTAATTGCATAAAATTAAATGGGTTTCATTGGCCTTTTGTAAACTTCCATAGCACTGAACTATTCTTTCATGGTCAGAGAAATCTTATGTGAAACTCTTTCAAAAACAATCTCAAAGCATTTTCCTGTAACTATTGAGTTATCTTGTTTGTGATGTGGATATCATTCAGACTTTCCAGCTGTATTAGTTTGTTAGATCAGAGCCATGTATTTCTAAACTTACTTCATTTTTTTGCTCAACCTCTTGGTATTGATGAACCAGTTGGTGATTGAATATGATACTCTGACTACTTGTCTTGCTCTCTGAACATGATTAGCTATTTATAGAATACTTGCACACTGCAGAAGCAACTGCATGCAGTAATGCTCTACAGCTGCTAAAGACTTGCAATGAGATTCACTATATGTATATCCTGTACTTTGAGGATTTTATAAAAACTAAAATTTCTACTGCAATAAAAGGAGTGTTAAATGTAACTTGCTAGGCTCTTCAAGCTTATTTTCTCTCTAACAGGACATGCTGATGCTTGAAGCTGGAAGCTGAGCAGAATGCTGTCCTGAGTGTATGTGTGCTTGTTCTTGTGTTTCCACTGCTGCTTCTGAATTGGAACATAATGTCTTGTGCATTTCTAAATTACTTTTCAGGGAATTTTTGTGTTCTAAAGTGTGAAAATTTATGACCCTTTCCTTCAAAATGTAACCCAAGAATAAGCACTGCAATAGTGGTGTTTAATCAGAGCAAAAAATCCAGACCTGCTTACTACTGTTTCAGTTCCTCAGCACCATTCCAGACCTCCTATCTTGTTACACGGTGTATTTTTCAAGTGGTGACGTCAGACTCTGTTTGGCTCTTTGCACCACTATCATTTAATTAATTTGGTCATCTAAGTTGCTCCCCCATACTGGGAGTGGAAGGCAAATAAATTTGTAATTACTGTGAGCAAAATAACATGTTACTTCTGAGCAAATTTTTGTGGTCTGGCTGCTGTTACGGGTGCGGTCTACTGCTCCTTAATTATATGGTGTTATTAAATTAGGAGCGTAAATTGGATCTGATGTATTCCAACTGTAACTGAAGGATGCAAAGTCTTCAGATCCAACTCTATGAATGGATGAGGAGGATTAAAAGGAGCAAGTGAATGACATTTCAGTGAGTAGAGAGCTGGAAGACAGTGCCATAAAGTAGAACTTGTATGTGGATACTGTATTTCTTCTTAACTCCTTCTGTTAAATCTTAAAAATGGACCAAGGGAGGAAAATGTTTCATAAATGGGATTTGATTTGATTTGGCTAGTATTTTCTTGCCTTGGCAAGGAGTTGCTTGAGAAACAAAGCCTGGATTTTACTTGTGACCTGGTAAAACTTACTCCTCTGACCTGCCAAGAAATATGGAACAATATTGTAAGAATAACTTTAAAGCCAAATAAATAAGGCAATTGGCCTGTGTTGTAAGAATAACTTTCAAGCCAAATAAATAAGGCAATTGGCCTGTACTTTGCATCAACTTTGATTTTTACTGCAGCCTTGTGGCTGCCTAAGTGATAACACTGTTTCCTCTATGCTGGAAAAAAACCCCATTCTGTCCTTGTACCTGCTTCCTTATTGAAGTTTGTGACTGTTTCTTTACTAATGATTAAATTATATATAAAATGCTGGTTGTATCCTGATAGCTTGAGATTGTTCTGGTGAAGAGAGCTGTATGTTCATGCTGCTGTGCTGTCCACATTTAGCTGGGACAGAAGTCTGTGATTTTGGAAAAATTTTGCAACTGACCATAAATGCCTGTCGACCCCAAATGTGAGGCAGAGGAGTTTTTGTCATACTGAAAGGTTTCCTACCTAATGTGATACTTGTTTGTGCTGGTCCAAATCATGCAGGTCATTGCTCTTTCTCATCTTAGCTTTTGTAAGTTAAGTGCTATTTTACAGATACTGTGGGTAGAGCTATCCTTGCTCTGCACAAGCTACTGTAGCAGTCCCACTCCAGTGTAACACTTGTCTATTTTCACCTGTAGATAAAGTATCAGAAGCCATTTGGTCTGTTGGAGTACCTAATGCCAGCTGGGATTTCTTACCCACAAAGCAACTCACTAATAAATCAATCCTTTCCATTATTGCCTTTTAAAAAAAAAATTTATACTTTTATTAAGTCATTTCTGTGCTGTCAGTTTGATGTTTTGCTCCCTTCTTTGATGAGTGTTCGTTATATATTTGAAGTTACATGTTTTAAGATTTAAAAAAAAAATCTGTTAGAATCATGAGCCACTCTTTCTTCAACAGTTTTTGAGCTGCTAGCTATATATGTGAGTTCTGACCAAAAATTATGTGGCCAGTTATTTTGTACAGTCTGTGCTGGACTGTTGGATTGTGAGGCACCTGCATGGCAACATTTGCTGTACAGATCCCTGGTTGGTGGAGGAAGTACAGTTCTTACCCATTTTACAGATGGGAATGGAGACATGGAAGAAAAGAGCATTAGCCTGAGGGGATGTAAGAGCTCTGGCAGAGCAGGAAATAGAAAAAAGAGAGTTGGACAAATGCCCAGAAGGAACTCTGCTTTCTTTCTACACCACATATGACTTGTTGGTCCTGCACCCAAAATTATACCAACTGTGGCTTAAATACTTGGAGTACTGTACCGAACGCTGCTCGTGTTAAGGGTAGAAAAGTGGTCTAGAACAGCTGCTCTTTTAAAGTGGTGTCAAAAATTGATTTCCACATGCAAGAGCTGGGTATGGTCCCTTGTATCATCTTTCTGCTGCTGAAAAATAATGCTACAGATTAAGATCACAAGCACTTAACATGCTAGGTAGTAGTAAGGTATGCTAATTGTTTTAATTGTTGATAATTTTCAATTGCTGCAGTGTATCTATTTGTGGTTAAACTATGGGTACTGAAATTTGTTAGTGCATCTTTGTATTGTAACATCTATTGTGCTATAATGCTCTGAAAGTCACAGGACCAGCCAGACCTTGCTGTTTGTAGTGGCCTTTTAAGGACAGAACCTTAAGCAATGCTTTATTTCAAAGATGCATTATCAGTATGGATAAAGTAATAGAATTTAATCTTCAATGTGGATTCAAAAATCTGTTCCATAAAATGTCAGCATTACTTATTAACTTCTCTGCAGAAGCTGGCTCTGTGATAATGGCAGATGTTGTGCAGGTAAGGGAGTTCATTGCTTACTTCTGTGCCATCCAGATGGTATAAACTTTTAAAATTAATTGAAAAATTCATCTTTTACTTGTATTCAAGGACTGAGGCACAAAATGCTAATGTAAGGGCTCAGAGGGGAAATATAGTTCTCCTGCATATTTGAGAAAATGTGAAGCCCTTTCAAGGAAATCTAATAAACAGAATAATCTCAGGCTGCTGACACTAAGGAAAAAGCACCTCATTCGCTCTTTCTTTTATGCAGCGATTTACTGGTCCCTACTGATTTTCAAATTGGATCACTGCAGTAAATTATCCATACCAGTACCTGTGAAAGAAAGCACTGGGATCTA